TCTCTCTCTCTCTCTCTCTCTCTCTCTCTCTCTCTCTCTCTCTGTATATGACTTCCATTTACCTATATATATATATATCATACACACATATATCATACATATGATACATAATATATATCCATGTATAGGTAGTATGTGTTCTTATATACCTGATGTATATATTTATGTTAACATGCTTGAGAATGCATATTTGTATGACATACATGGCTTATATGTGTGAATGAGTCTTTTGTGAACTTCCCATGTATGTGTCTAAATGTGTATGAACATGTAACCAGGCATATCTTTGTGATGCCTGGGTCTTCTTCTGACTTTTAAAAACTAAATGTATGAAGATCTTTGGCTGCTTCAGTACCATGTGTACATTGTATAATTACATGGAGGCATGATGGTGATGTGTATGGGCATACTACTGTCTTGTCAGCATTCCAACTCTGCTTCTTCCTTCCACACAGACATCAACATGGCTGGAGAGCCCAAGCCCAACAGACCCAAGGGCCTAAAGAGAGCAGCAACTGCCATATACAGGTGGGACTCTGTTTTCTGTCTGGGTGGGATGGGTCCCTCATTCCATAGAGGGAGTAAATGTTGATAGTGACAGTGTGCTGAGCCTAGAGTTTGAGAAGGCATTTGGAGATGAGGGCCTGTGAAGAACTGGGCTGAGTGGCCATCCCTAAGCCCTGGCCCTCTCCCTTTGTTTCCCCAGTGGCTACAGCTTTGACTATGATTACTACCGAGACCACTTCTCTGCCAGGTGAGCAGGGGAGGGGTGTGCCCAGGCATTAAACATCCAAGCTGGAAGGGTCTTGAGAGATTGCTGGAATAGCCCATTAAGTCCTCCATTTGGTAACTGAAGCACCAAGTGCGAATGGGTCTTTGCCCAAGGTTGCTCCACAAATCAGTGACAGAGCTGGGACTGGGGTCTTTACATCACACCAAACTCTCACACTCTCACTGCCTTTCCTTCTCCTGGTCCTGTAGTTTAGGACCATACACAGATAAAGTGCCTTTGCAGGGAGTTTTTGAGCCCCTATATGCTTTTCAGTCTCCTTGCCTCTGTAAGGTGCTCAGCCAGAAGTCCTCAGTTCAGTCTGACTCTATGACCAAGAAGCCAGCAAATTATTTAGAAGTCCGAATTAGTACCTGATGGGCTGTGGTCTACTTTCTGTCCCTAGCCTTGAAGCTATGGGCTCCACTCCAGTGGCCTCAGCCCTGTTTGTTTTTTGAGAAGTGTCTCACAAACTCATGATCTTCCTGCCTCTGCCTCTTGAGTGCTGGAATTACAAGAATGCAGCACGATACCCAGCTCCCAATTATATGCTTGATTAGAAGTCGTAAAGATTGTCAGACCTCTCCTTCTTGCTTCCTTCCCTCCTACTTGTCCAGCCCAGGAAGAACAGAGCCTTCTGAGCCTCCATTTCCTTATCTGTGAGTGGTTTCCGAAGACAGTCTGGTGCAGTGGAAAGTGCCCTCGCCTGGGAATCAGGAGATTTAGGTGCTAATCTCAGCCCTGCCACTGAATAGATTGTATTCCTTCCCAGTCAGTGAGATGGGCTTCACCAAGTGATCTCTCAGGTCTCCTCTAGCTCTGAGATTCTGTGGTTCAGTGATTCTGACCAAGGCCAGAGCCATTCCCTCCCCTTGGGTAGAAAAGCAAGATTAGGGATTAGATCCATTCCCAGAGACTTTAATCACCAGCAAGACAGGTGATTAAACTCTTTGAATAAGGGTACCAAGATAGGGGATATTGAATTGCCTAGTGATGGCAGGTGTCATAATTCATCAGGAAAGTAGTCCCAAAGTATATCCCTGGCGAAGGCTGTGGTTCCCTGGAGAACTGTGGTCACAGCAGATGTGGAGGGAAAGAACTCTGCTCAGCCTAGTTTCTGCCTGGTCATTAGGAAGAGAAGCCCTTTCCAAGTTATAGCATTGGGGTGACAGCATAGAGTCTGGGAGCCTTGGTGTCAGTCTTGACATATTGCTGAGCCTTTGGACATATCTCTAAAGAAAGGTGTTGAAGTGTCCCAAAGAAGAAAGGGGCTTAGAGTCTGAGGCTCCAGGTTCCTGAGTTGAATGTCTCAATACTTTAGTACCTGGACTTTCACTCATCACACCTCCAGTGTGGTTTTAACCAGGTTATTATGCTCTGCCCTTATAGCAGACTTGAGTAGACAGTGAGTTTGGATAGCACTCCTCATTAAACAGATGGGCAAACCAAAGCTCAAGGATTGACCAATGACTTGTTTACCTCTCTTCCCAGCTGGGAATTGATGCTGCTTTGAGAGATTTACAAACTGAGCAGAGGTTGGGGTGGCAGTTAACTAAGTAGAACAAAGGTCATGGAAGAAGGCAGGCCTGTATGTTAGAGTGATATAGAGTTGAATTCTTTCTGGGATTGGTCTGTTCCTCTCTTGCCTCTCCTGCCCTTACTTGTCCTGGCTGGTGGAATAACAAGGATTTCAGCATCTTAAATTAGGATCCAGAAAGCTGCCCATTACAACTGCAAGCTAGTAAGCTAGTATTTCAGTGCCCCCTCGTGGCCACAGGCCATGCTGCAGCCTCTGGTCTGCTTTCACAGGCTCTTCGATTACCGTGGCCGCCTATCTCCTGTGCCGGTGCCCAGGGCAGTCCCTGTCAAGCGACCCCGAGTCACAGTCCCTTTGGTCCGTCGTGTCAAAACTACAATACCTGTCAAGCTTTTTGCCCGTTCTACAGCCATCACTGCTGGCTCAGCCAAGATCAAGTGTGAGTGACATCTCCCTAGGTGGTTAATGTTTTTATGGTCACTAAAATAATAGAATCACATTTGTTTGCACTGGGAAATAAAGGACCAGATCTACAGTTCTAACACAACCATGTGAGTATCTGCACACATGTCTAAGAACAAAGGGCTGACATTTGAGGAGAAGGAGCTTAGGCTGGACACAGAGTCAGTGTTGTGATATGATGTCCACTGAGGCGATGCAGTAATTTTCCCCTAGTAAGGATAAGGACAGGTCTACAAAGGCCAGTTACTGCACATCCATCCGGCTCGTTGTGTGTTGCAGTCAGGCCCCAGGAAATGTGATTGCAAAAGACCCTCCTTTGGTGTCTTTCAAGACAGACCCCATCCTATAATACAACTAATACGTGTTCTTGCCTAGGTGTGCACAGGAACACACCATAGATTTGCCTTTTTTTCTTTTCTTTTTGAGACAGAGTGTAGACTAGGTTGGCTTTCAACCTCAGGATCCTCCTACCTCAGCCTCCCAAGTGCTGCAATTACAGATGTGCAGCATACCTGGCTGAGACCTATGTTCCTATTCACCTGTAGTCCCTGTAGGATTGAGAATTTAGGGAAAACAGCCAGGTTCATAGTGTGGGCACTCTAGGGATAGACTCTGAGTTCTCTTAAGAAGAAGCCTTTTCTCTGGCCAGGAAAAGAACCAAAAGAGAATTGCTTTACTAGTTGACAGAATGAAGCTGGGATTTTGTTTGCACCATGCCCCTGAGTTACAACCCTGTCCCCTCTCCACTCCCAGTAAAGAGCAGTGAGCTGCAGACCATCAAGACAGAGCTGACACAGATCAAGTCCAACATCGATGCCCTGTTGGGTCGCTTGGAGCAGATTGCTGAGGAGCAAAAGGCCAACCCAGGTCAGTCTTTGAGAGCGCAGCTTGGGGAGGACGTTGTATAAACAGTGGGAGGCTGGGGGAGGGGCTTCTGGTTCCAGAGCCCTGCAGATCCTGGTCCCTCTGGGTGCACGGTGCTGTGGCCAGCTGTTGCCAAGTAGCTGCACCAGGCTCAACTTTAGTCCCTTTTCCACCACTCTCACCCTTCAAGATGGCAAGAAGAAGGGTGACAGCGGCGGTGGTAGCAGCAGCGGAGGCGGCAGCAGCGGTGGTGGTGGTGTCGTGAGTGGTGGTGGCAGTGGAGGAGGAGGTGGTGGCAGTGGTGGTGGCGGCAGTGGCAGCACCAGCACCAGCACCAGCACCAGCACCAGCCGGCCACCAGTTCCCCAAGAAGACACAACTTCTGAGGCAGGCACACCCCATGGAGAAGTCCAAACTCGAGATGACGGCGATGAGGAGGGGCTGCTAACACATAGCGAGGAGGAACTGGTAAGGGCCTGGCCCGATGGGGCTGGGACTGGACTTTGTACTTGTGGTGTCAGGAAGGACACAGGTGGAAGAACCTAAACTGGCTGTTCCCCCTCTGCGCTCCCTCCTCCTTCCCAGGGCTTCTAGTCCTCTGTGGAGTAGGGAAGGGTGAGCAGTGGGTCGTTGGCTGTTTCAGCTGCCAGTCAGAAATCCCACTGGGGTCTGGGGTAGACCTTGGCAAAGCTCAAGGCCCATTCTGGCCTCAGTCTCAATTAAAGAAGAGAGGAATTGGGCCTAGGAAGGGCGCACACAGCAGCTTCCTTCCCGGGAGGATTAAGTTGACTAGGGAAGCCACAGGGTATTCATTCCACATGAGAATTTTTACTGCCTTTCAAACTTGAAGCAGGCTGTCTCATAATAAGGGAGTGATGTCTGGTATGTACCAGAACTATTCAGGGTAAAGCTAGGAGCCATTTGACAGGAAGCCTACCCTGAGTGAAAGTGGGGATCAGACTCTTCCATCTAGCCGATAGATGCCTGCCGTACCTCTGTCACTTAGCAGCCCTGCTCTGTGCTTAGAATGGTAACATTTGCCCTGTGAGGAAACTGAAGCTCAGAGTTAATCAAGTACAGCTAATAAGAGCCAAACCCATCTTGGAGGCTAAATTTCATTGGGTCTGGAGCTTCTCTTTTTAATCACTCTGGGCTCCAATGTGAAGACATGTCTCTGCCTTATGACAGTCAGCAGTCCTCCTCATGCCCAGCTTTTATCTGTCTCTGTCTGTCTCTCTCTTACAACCTAGCCTGGTACTTTTTTAGGCATAATACTCACCACGAAAGCTTTAAATTAAGATTCCCCAAAAATGGAAATCCCACTGATCTATACAGCTTTCAGCTTACCTTAGACCCAAGGTCTTTCCATGTAGAGAAGTGTACCCATAATATACCCACTACTCCCTTGAGTGGTCCTTTCTCTTTGTTGTGAGACCTTCAAAGCATCCTCTCAGGATCCTGAGCCAGCTTTATTGGCTGGTTTGCTTTGGTGCCCTCCCCCCTTTTTTTTGTCTTTTTGCCCTGTAGCCCCAGCTGTCCTGGAACTCACTGTGTAGACCAGGCTGGCCTTGAACTCACAGAGATCCGCCTGTCTCTGCCTCCCAAGTGCTGGGATCAAAGGCATGCGCCACCATGCCCAGCAGTGTCCTTTTGACTGTCCTCCAGATGGCACTCAGGGCCATAGGACCTTTCTGAACAGATGACTCAGGGCAGGACTTAAGAGCCTGTGTGATTGGTGCTTCTCTGTTTGCCTTTCTCTCAGGAGCACAGCCAGGACACAGATGCAGAAGATGGGGCCTTGCAGTAAGCAGGTATGGGGGTCCTAGAGAACAGGAGAGCCATGGAGTGGAGGTGGTGCTTTCTCTCTTAGATAGATCTGAAGGTAGCACTGCGTCCAGAGTTGAAGGTCCCTCTACCTTCTGCCATATTCGTGTAGTGGGGGAATGGCAGGTGCCATAGATGCCATGTCTATTCAGGGTCACCCAGAAAAGGTTTCCTCAGCATACTCAATCGTGTTGCTTATCCACCTGTGAGGAGCATCTAGTCTGGTGCAGAAAAACACAGACCTTTAGCATCCACTGTGAGCAGGATGACCACGGGAAAATATGGGAGGTAGATGTGGGGAAAAATGCTGCTCAAAAAGCTCAGCCTGCTTATGACTGAGGGAGAAGCGTTGTGTAGGTAGGGAGCAATCAACCTTAGTAGAGGCATAACACTGTGACAGTTTGTAGAGTACAGTAAGGCCAAGAGCTGCCTGTTTTACAGATCAGCTCTGCAGAGGAGGGGAAGGGTGCTGCTCATCTTCATAGTGTGGTGATGATGAAGTGTCTCATGGCTAGGATTAGGAGTTCAACTTGACCCTGCTGTGGGGAGATACCCTATAGGACAGCTGACACTTTTTGTATTGGGGGGGGGGGATCTTTTTGAGACAGGGTCTCCCTGTAGCCCCAGCTGTCCTGGAACTCACTATGTAGACCAGGCTGGCCTTGAACTCACAGAGATCCACCTGCCTCTGCCTCCCGGAGTGCTGGGATTAAAGGCATGCTCCACCACGCCCGGCAACAATACTTTTATGATTTATCTTCAACCCTGCAATGTGGAGATTGCTCCAGAATAACAGATGTGAGAAAGGAGGTACAAGAAGTATGCCTCACAAGGTCCCAAGATAATACTTGGAGCTTAGATTCAAATCCTGTGGCTGCTGTTGCCCTGCTCTCCTTGCCCCTAGGGTAGGGTTGTGGATTACCAGCTGCCTAGTTTGTAGGGAGATGTCACATATAGATGTTCCTCTTTGTGAAGCTAGTTTACATGTTAGGTATAGGAGTCAGGGGAGGGGGCGAGGCTTGCCCATGATTGATTACATGACCAGAAAATGAGGCAAGGTGCAGGCATAGCTGTCTGCAGACATCATTCAACCCCTCCTTCTTCCTTCTCCTGTGATCAAAGTTTCTTCCTCTCAGCCTTAGACTTCCCTTTGTCTCTTTCTCAGACGGAAACCATGGCCACCAGCAAAAGGGCATCACTATCTCAGGCCTCAAGCCAGGCACCCATCTGTGGATGCCAGTCTGTAGCAGTTACCAGAGGAAAGCTGGCAGCAGGCACGCCTCTCCCCACGCATCCCAGCCAGTGCCACATCCCTCTACAAGTGGAGTTACTGGCCCAACTTTCCCCCATGCACTCTCCCTGTCTGCACTGCCTGGGCCAGGGGGCAGGATGCAGGGGTTTCCCACACCCTGCCCCTCTTTTCCAGGACACTCCCAGGCTTGGGGTTTTTCTATAGGTATGGAAGGGGCATTGGTACAGGGTGGGGACCTGACAATAAAGAGATTGGATCCAAATATGCTCTGAACTGGAATGTTTTGTGGTGTTTTTTAAAAAAAACCATGGTGTGTGTGTGTGTGTGTGTGTGTGTGAGAGAGAGAGAGAGAGAGAGAGAGAGAGAGAGAGATGTGGGGTGGTGGGTGGGCACATGTCACGTCTGGAGGTCAGAGGATAACTTGTGGAGCTGGTTCTCTCCTTCCATCTTTACATGGATTCCACAGATTGCCAGGCTTGTACAGCAAGCACTTTGCCCAGTCATCTCACTGGTCCATGAACTGTTTTCTCATGGTGATATTCTGGCTCTTCTGCCCACCATGAGCCCCTTGCATTCTCATCTCGTTCACTTTTCCTTCCCAGGGAACATTGTCTAGGGTGTCTAATATTGATCTCCATTCGGGCCTCGGTTTCCTTTATTAAAATAATTAAAGTTAGGTGTGATAGCACATGCCTGTCATCCCAGCACTTGGGAAGAGGAAATAGGAGGATCAGGAATTTATAGCTGGCCAGGGCTCCATGAGACCGTCTCAAAATATGAAACAGACCAAAAAGTATGTTAATTTTGAGCAAACTCTAGAATGAATAGCCTCAAGCAAGTAATAGCTTTGTGTTTTCCATGTTACAGCCAGTGAAAATTTTAAACTGGGAATGGTGGCACAGGACTGTAATCCTGGCCCTGAAGAGGTGGAAACAGGAGGCTCGGAGAATTCAAGGTCATCCTTGGTTATATGGGACGTTTAAGGCCACCCTAGATTATGTGAGACCCCCATCTTCATAAAAATGACAAGTAGTAAATAAGGTGATTAAAAATGACTAATAGGGCTGGAAATGGTCATCTCTGGGTGCCCATGGTGCTCCTTGCTGGCTGAAGGGCCAAGCAGTTGCGACCCGTTTGTTACCCAGCAATGGGCCTGGGTGTCAGATGCTCAGCTTCTTACTTTTGGTCTTTTGTGTACATGATTCTAGAACTCACTACTTTCTCTGCTCTTTCTGCTGCCTTAGGAAGCTTGGACTTTGTCCTCTTTCCAGTTTCCCCTATGCCACTGTCTATTATCCATGTTTTTTTCTTTTTGTTAACCATCTTAATTGGCTTTATTTTTTATTATAGTCAGATAACACTTGATTTCACAAAACACAAATATTTCTGTGAGCAGAAAAGGCTGGCTGTGTGGGCAGCAGAATATTATGTGCTCCTTTTGGTAAACCTAGGCCATTTGTGCTATATTCTTGGTCATTGTCATTTTGGGTTTTTGATCTCAGCACATCCTTGGGTTATGGTGTCCTCGCGATCATGCATTTCAAAGTCTGTCACTTGAGCTAAAGAAAGTTTGAAATTGAGCAGATGACTGTAGACATCTAAACCTCTTCGAGAGAAGACACAGTGCAGAAGGATGGCTACCAGAATAATACCAAGAATTTGGGAGTATGTTCCTTAGCCAGGGTCCCCAATGGACCAAACCATCTGAAATTGAGCAGATCAGATCTGGTTCAAAGTAGTTGATTCATTCATTTTGCAACAGAGTCTCAGCAATACCTAGTGTGTTTATTTATATGGAACAAGAACTACTGGTAACCTGCATAGATTCCACCTTACTCAATTAGATAGCAGTTCTGGCAACTAGCATCCTAGGGTGGGTTAGGGCTAAGGGGGTAGAACATCTGAGTTTGATTATTAAGGGAAGACAGATGATGGGTTAGAGAGTGCTAACTCTGTGACACTAGTGGTATAATTTGAAGGAATGCCTGCATTTAGGGGTACTGTTAAAGTTAGCTGGGTCATATATATAGTTCAACTAAAGGATCTCTTAGAATCTGTAAAGAGCTGGATTTGACATGACATATTACAAAACTACCCAGTAAGATTCTAATGGCATTAGCATCCTACCAAGTAAAAGCCTCAGGAGAGTTCCAACAGTCTTCAGAGCAGTTGTCCATAGCATGAAGTCATTTTGTCCTGGATTGTAGTTCGAGAATCTCTATAGTGACAGGGTTTTTTGCTTTATTTTTTTTATTAAATATTTTTGAGCCGGGTGTGGTGGTACACACCTTTAATCCCAGCACTCGGGGAGGCAGAGGCAGGAGGATCTCTGAGTTCAAGGCCATCCTGGTCTACAGAGTGAGTTCCAGGCCAGCTGGGGCTACAGGGAGACCCTGTCTCAAAAAAGACTAAAATAAATTTTTTTTTGAGACAGAATCTCCCAGTATCATCAAGTACTTTAGGGAACTGTGTGGCCCAGTAGCATCAACTTTGCTTCTGCCTACCTAAAATGGCCCATACTCAGGCACAAGACTCGTCCCTTGAAATTTTTGTTACCAAGCTTCAGGTTTTAGGTATTCAGTGTTTGTTCTTACTTGGGAACTTGTAGCTTGATATTAGAGAAACTACAGAATCTAGTCAAGACTATAGATAAAGCATAAAAACTAAAACAGCTAAAACCGAATAGAATTTATTAACCAGAGTATTTTCATCTGGACAGTTTCCTCTCTGTGCCCACCCTCACTCTTACCAAAGGTATACATTAAGATGAATTTGTTTCCAAAATAGGTGTAGTCTGTATTGTGTAGTCAGAATAACCACAAAGCCCAGTTAATTGCAAAGTTAGCAAGAATTCTGACTGAACTTTTAGAATACTCTGAGGCTAGGAAACTAGATCAAGGCAAACTTAATTTACCTGAGACGTTTCAAGACTGGGCCTTCACTGTATGGCTAAGAGCCCTTTAAATTTAGCATTCTCTGAATGGATATTCTTGATTGGCATCCTAGTCAAAGCCATTATTTCTGATTTTATCCTATTATAAAAGGAATAGATTTTCACTGAACTTTTATACAAATTGTCATATTGCCAAAAAATAACAGATATTTCCAAATGCTGGAGGGTTCAGATAGGGCAAGTGAATATTTCAATTTTTGTTTACAAAATATTTAAATTTGGTTTATTTTATTTTATACATGAGTGTATTGCCTGCACGTATGTGAGTGCACCTGTGTTGTGCAATGCTGTGGAGGTCAGAAGAGGGCATCAGACTCCCCTGGAATTGGAGTTAAAGACTGTTCATAGCCATCACGTGGGTGCTGGGAATCAAACCCGAGTCCTCTTCAAGAGCGATCAGTGCTCTTAACTGCTGAGCCATCTCTCCAGCCTGTTTCCAAAATATTTTAGAATTGCTATAAACTATAGATAACTTTAAAAAAGTTTCTTGGTGCACACCTTTAATCCCAGCACCTGGGAGGCAGAGGCAGGTGCATCTCTGTGAGTTCCAGGCTATATGCGGCTACAGAGACCCTGTCTCAAAAAGA